GCGTCACTGGGTTTCTTCATTCTTCGTTCGACCTGGCGATGTTCGTACCAAGAGAGACGCAGACAATTCGTAGAATGTAACCGTTGTCACTGTTCGTCTTCCTCGACATCGGAATCATTCGAATTTGTGTTCGGTCTCTTTGGGTTTTCGTTATTTGATAAACCTGCTTCGAATCGTTTCCCTATCTGGGTAGCTGTATATGTATTTCGACCTACCCTAGCTTGTACGAGGTTAGCTCTTATTCCGTTTCTTCCTTTCTTTTTCAAGCTTCGTGAATGCGAGTTTTTAGTTTGGATTTCATTTTTTTAATGTTTGATGGGTGTTTTTTATATGTAATTGGATCTTAGGGATTTTGATTCGCATTGTGAGCTTGGTGATGAATACGTCTAAATTGTTTTTTTCGATCCATTTCCTTGTGATGTTTGTTTCAAGTGAATCAACTTTCTTTGTCTTGGGTTAGAGGAAGCTCTCGTTTTAGGTATAGTGTAAGGGTCGATTTCATTGCATTTGACAGATGATCCTCTCATTTGTAGCAAGAACAGTTGTTCCAGTTAGAAAGAGAACCCTAGTTTATTAAGTTAATTGGGTAGTTTTATTTCCAAGGCTTGAATACGTTGCTACTCTAAAACTGAGTTAGTATGTATTTTTTTGTAGTGAATGCTCCAATTAAGGAGACTTATCTTTTACTTTGGCAGTGTCATTTAGTTGACGAGTGCGTCTCCTCTGCAGGCTGAGTTAAAATGGATTGGATACACAAATCTAATCCTTGTGTGGAAACTTCGAATTTGGCAAAAGCCGTTGTTCCTCTTCAGCGACAGGAGAGACTTGATTCCCATTCTTTGCTTACCGATGTAGATATGGACCTTAGAGAAGTGTATTTCCTGATTTTGCATTTTCTTTCTACTGGCCCCTGCGAACAAACCTTTGGCCATTTGAGAGATGAAATTTTGGAAAAAGGGCTTTTGCCCCGTAGATATCATTCTTGGTGGTCAAGAAGTGGTACTTGCAGTGGGCGTGTTGACGATGATGGCATCTCCCTCCCGTTGAGTTATGATAACTTGGTAGAGAGGTATAGTTTTCAATTTGCTTATTCAGCTATTCCATTGTTGAGTTACAATAGAGGCCTTGCTATTCCATTGTTGAGTTACAATAGAGGCCTTGCTATAGCTTATTGAAATGTTCTGTTACTTGTCGCGTAACATGTGTGTGGTGCATCAAAATATGTCAATACTGTATTCGAGGGTTCCCACCTCCCTAATTGTGCCAACTATTTTTTCCTCATCATCATGTTTCTTTTACTGACAGGTATCCTCATATCGAAAAGGATCACTTGGTGAAGCTTCTCAAACAACTAATGTTAAACCCACCTTTTCCTTCACACATGAGAGTTGAAGGAAATACTCCTAATGCTGCTGATGTTCCAACACTATTGGGATCTGGCACCTTTTCACTCCTGGATCGTACGTAGTAACTCGTATCCATTTACTTTTTTGGCTTGAATTTCAAAAGCTTAACCATGAAATTTAAGAAATCGAAAGACTTGGTACTTTGACGAAATGATGTTTGAAAAACAGGATATCTTTTTTAGTTTCTCATATCCTCATATATGGGAAACCAAGTCTTTCTTCAGGGAGAGTTCTTGCCCTAGGCCTTGATTTTTTAACCTTTAATTTTTCTTTCTGTGAAGGTAAAAATATGAAGTCTCAGAAAGCTAGGCATGTTGCGTCATACTTACGCTGGCCGCATATGCATGCCGATCAAGTGCGTGGCCTAAGTCTCAGAGAAATTGGTGGAGGTTTCAGGAAACACCACCGTGCTCCGTCCATTCTTTCAGCATGTCACGCTATTGCAAAACCATCAACAATGGTTCAAAAGATGCAAAATATAAAGAGGCTCAGAGGACATCGTAATGCTGTTTACTGCGGTATGATCTTTATAATACATCCTTTGTGTTGGATGTCTTGTTTGTGGTGATTCCATAGTATGTTTTGTTAAATGTGCAACCTTGAAATTTCTACCATTCTGTTTATATCTTCTGATTATAGTATCTGGAAGTCATAATGCAGCATGTCAACCATAAGAGCACTATTTATTGTCACAAAAGGTTTTTGTTGGGTGAGATGGTAACAGTATGACTATTTATATCTTTGTTGAACAGCTATATTTGATCGCTCTGGAAGATATGTTATCACTGGTTCCGATGACCGGCTTGTAAAAATTTGGTCAATGGAAACTGCGCTTTGCTTGGCTAGCTGCCGTGGGCATGAAGTGAGCTATTATTTTCCTTATATGTAAGCCATGTATTGTGGACTGTCTATTAAAGTTGGTCCTTGCCTATGCATGTTTCCTGTAGGGTGACATAACAGACTTGGCCGTTAGTTCAAACAATGCTTTGGTGGCATCAGCTTCAAACGATTTTGTGATTCGAGTGGTAAGGATACAGTTACTAGTCTTTAATGTCCTTACAATGTGTATGTATTTGTTGGTTAGATAATATTGATTCTTATGACAGTGGAGGTTGCCTGATGGAATGCCAATTTCTGTATTGCGGGGACATACTGGAGCTGTTACTGCGATTGCATTCAGTCCCAGGCAGGCGTCTGTTTACCAACTTTTATCGTGAGTTCTGTTCAATATGTTTCTATTTTAACTAGTTCCTTTTGAACTTGTTATTTATCTGTTGAAGACCACACCTGCATCTTTAGTTTCGATGTTTCATACTGCTTTTTGCATTGGTAATCAGTTATTTTATTTTTAATTAATCTCTGTAGGTCATCAGATGATGGAACCTGCCGTATCTGGGATGCTAGGTACTCTCAATGGCTTCCACGGATCTATGTTCCAAGTCCATTGGATGCTAGCACTGGTAAGAAGGTGGTACATCATTATATTTTATTCAATGTTAAAATTTGTTCTTTATAGAACTTATTGAAAGTTTCTCTTAGGCAAGATCAATTTCACATCTTCTAATGCGGCATCTACGAGCAATGCATCTCAGAAGCATCAAATACTATGTTGTGCGTACAATGCTAATGGAACCATTTTCGTCACGGGTAGCTCTGACAGCAATGCGAGGGTCTGTGTTAAACTTTCAACTTTAATTATCCTCCTTGGTAATGCAGAAACTGTGGGAAATGTTAGTTTTGGTTTGCTTGTTAGTCTTGATTGTCAGTATTTCCATAATCTTGCAGGTTTGGAGTGCCTCAAAACCTAACATGGATGATCCTGAACAGCCGACTCATGAGCTGGATGTTCTATGTGGCCACGAGAATGATGTCAACTATGTGCAATTTAGGTATTTTCAAGTGAACATGGTGTTTCTCTTAGATTTTGCGTTTTGTTCGTTGGAGAGCATGCAAAGATACCTAAATAGG